AATTCTGAGGAATTTCGGAGATTTTTGGGGGATTTTATGGGAATTTGGGGGGGTTTGAGGCAGCTCCTGCCATTTGTCGAATTTACGCTCGATCTCCTCCTTCAGCTCATACCCGACCTGGAATTGGGGTAAATTCCCGGGATTTTGGGAAAATTCCATCAAATTCTGGGAATTCTGGAAAAAATCTGGGAATTTGGGGTTTTTTTGGGGGGTTTTATGGGGGTTTGAGGAGCTCCTGCCATTTGTCAAATTTACGCTCGATCTCCTCCTTCAGCTCATACCCCACCTGGAATTGGGGCAAATTCCCGGGATTTTGGGAAAATTCCATCAAATTCTCAGAATTTGGGGAAAATTCTGGGAATTTTGGGGATTTTTATGGGAATTTGGGGGATTTTATGGGGATTTTGGGGGGGTTTGAGGGGCTCCTGCCATTTGTCGAGCTCGACCCCACCTAAAATTGGCGAAATTTTGGGAATTTTGGGGGGATTTTCTTTTGGTTTTTATGGGAATTTTCGGATTTTGGGAATTTTCCAGGATTTCAGGAATATTTTGGGGCTCACCTTCCCATCCTGGCTCTCATGGAAGCACCGGGATGGGATTTGGGGAAGGACTGGAGTGAATTTTGGTGATTTTTCATAATTTCACGGGGATTTTTGATAATTTCACGGGGTTTTTTTTACAAATTCCAGGATTTTGGGAATTTTTAAGAATTCCAGGAATATTTTGGGGCTCACCTTCCCATCCTGGCTCTCATGGAAGCTGTCCACCCTCGCCGCCAGCGTGCATTTGGCCGCCACGAGCCGCGCCGCTTTCCTCCTCAAATCCTACCCCAAAAATCCCATTTTTTTTTWWTTTTTTGGARRAWTTTTGAGGATTTTTAGGGGATTTTGGGGTTTTTTTGGCTCACCCACCGGCGGCAGGGACTGCACGATGTCGCTGTGGTAAATGAAACCCGTGTGGGGCAGGACTGAGGTGGAGGAGAAACCCGAGAGAGTTCGGCGCTGAGCGCCCAGCAGGAGAATGTTACAGGCAGGGAGTTTGGAGAGAGGGGTGAGGCCTCCAGCGACACCTGAAATAGCACAAAAATATCCCAAAAATATCCTGAAATAACCCTAAAAATATCCTGAAAATATGAGAAAAAAACCGCAAAAAAATATCCCAAAATATACCCAAAAAATAGCCCAAAATCACCCCAAAAATATCCTGAAAATATCAGAAAAAAAACGCAAAAAAAAGCCCAAAATATACCCAAAAATAGCCCAAAATCACCCAAAAAATATCCCAAAATCACCCCAAAAATATCCTGAAAATATCACAGAAATATCAGAGAAAATAGCCCAAAAATAGCCCCAAAATCACCCCAAAATCACCCCAAAAATATCCCAAAATAACTCCAAAAATATCCTGAAAATATCACAGAAATATCCCAAAAAACACCCAAAAAATACAGCAAAAAAATACAGCAAAAAATCAGCCCAAAAATCAGCCCAAAAATATCCCAAAATCACCCCAAAAATATCCTGAAAATATCCTGAAAATATCACAGAAATATCAAAAAAAATAGCCCAAAAATAGCCCCAAAATCACCCCAAAATCACCCCAAAAATATCCCAAAATCACCCCAAAAATATCCCAAAAATATCCTGAAAATATCCCTATTTTCAGGGTATTTTTTTTATATTTCTGTGCTATTTTAGGGATTTTTTGGGTGATTTTGGGGCCGTTTTCAATGGGAATTTTTGCCATTTTTGGGCCAATTTTTCCGGGATTGTTTTGGGATTTTTTTTGGGGTTTTCTTTGGGATTTTGGGGTTCTCACCCATGATCTTTGCAGCCGTGGAGGCCCCGATTTTGGGTGATTTTGAGGGGATTTTGGGGCCGTTTTTGGGGGGATTTTGGGGCCATTTTTTGGGGGATTTTGGGGCCATTTTTTTGGGGATTTTGGGGCCGTTTTTTTGGGGATTTTGAGGCCGTTTTTTGGGGGATTTTGGGGCCGTTTTTTGGGGCATTTTGGGGCTGGTTTTTTTGGATTTTGGGGCTGTTTTTTGGGGGATTTTTGCAGGATTTTTTGGTGGTTTTTGGGGTGATTTTGGGGCCGTTTTTTGGGGGAGATTTTGGAGCCATTTTGGGTGATTTTGGGGCTGTTTTGGGGTGATTTTGGGGCCACTTTGGGGCCGATTTTGCGGGATTTTTTTCAGGATATTTTTGGGATTTTTTGGGGGTTTTTTTTTTGGATTTTGGGGCTCTCACCCATGATCTTTGCAGCCGTGGAAGCCCCGAGGATGAGGGACAGAGTGGGGGCGATGAAGGACATGGGGGAGGATTTTTGGGGAATTTTGGGTGATTTTGGGGCCGTTTTGGGGCCATTTTGCGGCAGTTTTTTGCGGGGATTTTTTCGAGGATTTTTATGGGGATTTTTTTGGGGGGTTGTTTTGGATTTTGGGGTTCTCACCCATGATCTTTGCAGCTGTGGAAGCCCCAAGGATAAGGGACAGGTTGGGGGCGATGAAGGACATCCTGGACTCCACGTATTCATAAATTCTCAGTTTGGCCCCGCTCAGCGCCAGCGCCATGTCACACGCGTCCTCGATGCGCCCCAGCTCCTCCTCCGACAGCTGCTGCCTGATTTGGGGTGAAAAACGGGAAATTCGGGCTCGGGGACCCCAAAAACCCCAAAAAACACCCCCAAAAACCCAAAAAACCCAAAAAACTGCACTAAAATAACCCAAAAACTGCCCCAAAAACTGCCCCAGCTCCTCCTCCGACAGCTGCTGCCTGCATTTCGGGGTGAAAAACGGGAAATTCGGACTTGGGGACCCCAAAAACCCCAAAAAACACCCCTGGAAAACCCAAAATACCCCAAAAATACCCCAAAAACCACCCCAAAAACTGCCCCAGCTCCTCCTCCGACAGCTGCTGCCTGATTTTGGGGTGAAAAACGGGAAATTCGGACTCGGGGACCCCCAAAACCCCAAAAAACACCCCTGAAAACCCCAAAAAACACCCCTGAAAACCCCAAAAACCACCCTAAAATACCCCAAAAAAACCCAAAAACCGCCCCAAAACCCCTCGATGCACCCCAGCTCCTCCTCCGACAGCTGCTGCCTGCATTTCGGGGTGAAAAACGGGAAATTCACACTCGGGGACCCCCAAAACCCCAAAAAACACCCCTGAAATACCCAAAAAACCAAAAAAATCGTCCCAAAAAACCCCAAAAACCCAAAAACCGCCCCAAAAAACCCCAAAATTTGACCCTAAAAAGCTCCAACCCCCCCAAATTGACCCCAAATGGTCCCGAATTGACCCCAAATGGTCCTAAAATCCCAAATTTTTTTTTAAAATCCCAAAATTTTGTTATAAATTCCCAAATTTCACCCGAGTGGTG